ATAGTATGAGTTTATTTGTACTTTACTATGACTTTTTTCATACTCAATTTTGAAATTTAAATCATTGTATACCATGACCTTTTAATCATATGATACTATGATATTTATATCATACTATACTATGACATATTTTACATACTTTACTGTGGAACTTTTATCAAACTATACTGTGATATTTTATCATTCTATACTATGACATTTTTATCATACTACTATTACCTTTTTATCATATGATACTTTAACATATTATAATACTAAACTATTATATTTTTGTGACACGCAGTGTGACAGGGCGGTGGTCTGCCATGGAGGTGGTCTGCAGGGGAGGTGGTCTGCAGAGGTGGCAGCATGACACTGCTTGGGCCCGTTGAGCTATAAGGGGCGCTCGTTAGTTTTAAAATTTAACGCTGCCTTTTTAAGTGAGAAATAGACAATATTCGCCATTAGGGTCGATACATAAAGCTGACTGAATCAGCCTTTAATGCAGCTGCAAATCATGTAAAACTTCTGTCTTTTCATGTGAATGTCCTCACAGCCTTGTGCCAGAACGCTTTCTTTTTTTCACGGGCTGGTAATGGTTTCTGCAATGGCAGTCAAACAGAAAAGCTGTTTACCTCCTCATGTCTTAGCGAGTGTTTAAGTTTTTGCTGAATGTTAACTGCACCAAGTTGTAAAGAAACAAAGACGAAAGAGTAAGGAGCGGATGTGAACGTTAAAAGGACGAGGAGGAACAAAGAAAAAGAGGAGAAAAGAATCAGTGAGAGAAAGACTCTCTTAAGTCGTGATCAGCTCAGGTATGTGTGTCTGTTTCTGTGTTGGTGCTAATGGCTTTGGATAGAAAAGGTGTTGAAAAAGCAACACACTGGACAGCAAGAAGTGGTTACAGAAGCAAGGACAACCCGAGTCTAAGTGGGTCTCAAGTTTTTAAATTACCCTAAAGAATTTAGTCATAAGAATAGCTGTAACTTCTGTACAAGCAAACTTCTGTGCAAGCAAATTTTATAAATATTTTCATATTTCTTAAATTATTTTTCCTTTTTGGAGCTTCGCTTTAGTGCTTTTATATCTGGCAACCGTTTCAGCCAGGAAATGTTGAGTTTCATTCAGTTTCCATGCTCACATTTTTTACTTTGTGTGTCTTCTACGACTTTATCTTTTATTCAGTTACTATTTGATTTGAGATGCTGTCGTATAAACCAAACATATGTTGTGTTAGTGCTCTGATTAAAAGATCTACTGTCAGGCCATATAAAAATACTTTACAAGAAGTTAGACAGCTTGGTATTAAAATGTGATCGCACATGAGCCTCGACTGGAAAAGCAGATAACGTAAGGCCGAGAAAAAGTTACAATCTTAGAACTTAACGGCTGTCAGTCTGGACCAAGTAACCCTGAAGAGCGACAGCCAACATCTCAGGGTGCCTGTGTAACAGTTTGTGTAACAGTTTCCGTTTCAATTCAGCAAAGTCAACAATGTGCAGTCAATGTGCAGCCGTGTAGCTCGTTCTTGCACCATCTGTTTTCATCGATTTGAGTTTGTAATTCTGCGAGCTACTGAAACAGGGGTTGAGCTAAGCACTCAGCAGATGGCATCTTGTAATGTCACAGTTTGTCAGTATTTGTTTTAGACAATGGAAATTAGGTTGTATGGTGCTGTGTTTGATTAAAATGGCATACTGTTTAATTAACTATGGCAATGTGCTATAAGCATGGGCGTGTGGACAAGGCTGGTGGTGCAAACCAGCTTACCTTCTGACTTTGTGATTCTATGTGTAGCCATGTCAGATGAATGGTGCTTGAATTTGACTTCTTTCTGGGTGCTTTCAGACCATTAGGTTGATTTTTTGTTGAAAATTATATTTGATTTATTTAACAACTAGGAAATTAGTCAGTCAAAGGATGAAAATCATGGTGCAGGCCCACTGCTTGAGTTACGCCAGAAACTAGTCACTTTTTGCCTTAAATAAATCAGTCTTTTTAGTTATGCTGACACTTCATAAGGTCTATTAACTTAAATGTATACTACCATATTTTTTGAATACATGATTATAACCCTAAGAAAGGAGAAGAGCTGTTGGAAAGTGGAACTGCCAGCCTGGGCTTGTGACCAAGTTGCAGCTTAAAATCTGCAGTGAAAAGGGTGAATTGTCAAGCGCACCAGGGTGCATGCAGTGGTGATGGTTGCTGCTGCTGAAAGTGACTGTACATACCTGTGATGATGTTTTAGCAAGTATGGCTCCCTCTTTTGAGTAAAATATTATTGATGAATGGAATATTTCTGCAGTATACATCTTTGATATTGACAGCAGCTCATTTTTTAGATACAGAGTTATAGGAGTTTTCTTTTTCTTGTATATTATGGTAGTTTCACAGTTTACAGCTTCAGTGAGTATTTGTTTTTAGCTGTTGATGTAATAGGATAAAATAAAAACTGGTGACTTACAAAATTAGTCAGATTGATCAGCAATAGGACTGATAATTCTTAGGTAGTTTTTGCAAGTACCACAACAGCAAAGTAGGTGTCAGACCATAGACTGTATATACTATGGACAACTTGGTTCCGCCTACCGCCTGTATATGGATTTGAAGCCAAAAAGCTCTCTGTATTTCCGGGATTTTTCTTTATTTCCTGAAACCAGCGCTGCGCAGTAGCAATGCGCGCATTCGGCCACGCAGTCACAGAGAGTCACTGTGATGACGCTCGGCTCAAACAGCGTATCCCCCAGGAGAGCTACGCAATCCCTGAACGCCCATAGGCTGTATCAGGTGTCAATCATAGCAAACATGAACCCCCTAATAACTTTTCAAAACAGAGCTTCACAGAAAAAAGAGGACTTGAGCACAAACCAGTCTTACAATAACTACATTTCAACATCACAAGCAGGGGGGAGAAAAATGTATATTCTGTGTAATAAACTTTTAAAGTTTGTCCACAGCTCCATAAGCTTTGCTGGCGGAGGCGGGATTTATGACCTATACTGCAGCCCGTCAACAGAGGGTGCTGTTCTCGGAGTGGCTTCACCCAGCGAGGAGGCAGACTCTGTCCATTCTTTATACAGTCTATGTGACAGACCAATACCATACAGTCTGAAAACAGAAGGTTGAGACTTTATATTAGAAACCTATCTACAAGACAAGATCAGCAAATGGAGAAAAGATAACCACTTTGTCCACAGGGGGCACCAAACTCAATACAAAGAGAGAGTTCCTTTCAGGGGCTTTAACATGTATAATATATCTTTCTGTGTCATTTGTGAGTTTTTTTCAGACTTTGCAGAAATAGACACAGTTTGAATGTAATTAAACTTGCAGGTTTTGTGGCTGTACTTGAATAAAGTTTGGGTTGAATAACAGTGTAATTTCTGATATAAAAGGTTTAAACATTCTGGAAAAACGGGGCTATTCAAAACAAAATCCATCAAATCAGGGTTAATTTTCTCTGATTTGGTTAAATCTAACACAAAACCCTCGCTTTAATGAGTCCGATTTCTCAAAGAGAAGAGGATTCATCAGGTCAGTTTATTATGTTTTGTTTTATAAATGTAATTACAAACACAAAATCATTCAGAAGCCGAGCCATATTCAGGTGTTGAAATAATATTCACTGCTTTTGCTCTCAATGTGAATTCATGCGGTGGGTTTTTATCCCCCGTGACAAACTCACACAAAAGTCTGAGCCCACCAACAGGCAGACCCTGAACCTTGAAGGTTTTCTGTTGGAAGGTCACTGCAGAAGTTATTCTTTCAAAACCTCCACATAATGAATGAAAAATTAAAATAAATGGATATTCAGACCCATCCTAAATCCTCTGCCCTTGCTATTCCTGATATGAAAATAAACTTACATGCAATCCAAATTGAATATTAATAAATGATTAAAAAAAAGGGAATGAAGTCGAACTTATTGATTTTGTCTTGAAATTAAAAATATTATTTTTGTACGATTTTCAAATCAGTAAAAGATTTTGATCAGTGCAGGGAAAATCTCTTGGTATTTATCTTTTAAAGGTTCAGATATTTGTGTTTTTTTGCAATGGGGGTAAAGTGACTATTTTGGAGTCCTACCTGTTTCTATATTCAAGAATAAGCAACAGATAATTTAAAACCATGCCTGAGAGTTAAAGAGCTTGTTCAAAATATCTAATCAGTGTCAACATGGTGTTCAGTCATTGAAAGTTAATTCTGATCACTTACTGTGGATGTATCAGTATTTACACTATGCAATAGTTCCACACTGGTCCCAACATGAGGATGTAAACTGGAATAGTAAACTGAAATGCAATACAAATTAAACATTTACAAAGGGAAAACAATGTTACTTGATGTTGATGGTGTTGTTTTGCATTTGTTCAGGTTGTTGCAAATAGGTTGCAAAAGACAAAATAAGAGCATCAGAAGAACTACCTGAAGAAAAGTCTACACAAGAAAGCGTGAACACGCATGTCTGAAATGTGGCTTTACTGAGTGAAGGTAATGACAGCACATGTCCGAGTATGACCTGTATGTTTTTTTCCGATCATCATCCAAGTTCTACCTTTGACATACTTATTATAATACGAGATTAACGGTTACAAACCAATGTTGCATCTGTAGATAGAGTTTTTTACAGTTTCTGGACACTTTGATTTGAGGCGTCCTCAAAGAGCTGACATGTTGGAATGAATGGAGAAGTGGATGAAGGACTGAAACAAGCCCACACACATTCACACACTCACACACCAACAGCTGACAGAGGCGAGCTGAAGTCCATGTCAGGTTAACGACTCATGCCGCTGTTGAACAACTCACCTCCTGCACACTCACACTCACACACACACACACACACACACACACACACACACACACGTTTCTTGTTTTAAGCGACAGGTGTGTGTGTGAGTGTCAGTCTGCCACAGTTGTGAGTCAGAGCTGATGGTGTGTCTTTTAACAGCAGTTGAAGTTTTAAAAAATCAGTTTGCAGATACATTCAAAGATAATGACAAACCAAATACAGTCATTTGGGGAAAACGTTCAAATTTTTGCACAGATTTTATTCTTCTTTCCAAAAACAACAAAATTAGATCTTCAAGTTGTCTCATCTCTGGTCTGTAATTCCACCTGTAGAATAATGTCCGTGCCTCTGCAATAGAAAAAAATAGTAATCATAAATTGACACGCAGTCAAAAACAAACACTACTTTAAAATATGGAAGCTTGTATTTTCATACAACGATTTTAGGAACACAAACTGATAAACTGTACAGTCCCCCCCCCCCCCCCACACACACACACACACACAGACACACAAACACTGCCGCTCTGTCCTTGGTGGGGTATTGGCAGAGGAGCAGTAAATGGAGGGTCATGTTTGGGTCTTCCTCATCAAGCGTCTGAACAAAAACCTCCTCTCTCCTCCAGCAACGGGGAACAGCGAGCGGTGAAGGATGAAATCTGCTGAGCAGAACATACAAACACACCTGCACAAGCTGAACCACATGTTTATGTTTGGAAATCTGGACTTAAACTAAAATCTGGATGAAGATCGACTTATCTACCATGAATTTAAACTGTTTATTTTTAGTAGAGGGCACTGAGGAAGCAAACAGTGCACTTGTTACCCTCAAGCTCCTTGGGTTTGAAGGTAATAGGTATTTATTTTTGTTGTCACAGGTCACAGGATCTTGCTTTTTCTTTTCGGAAAAAGAAAAACTGCAACTGTCAGACATGCTGTTTCTGGGTCAGGACTAAGACTTTAGATTAACGGTGTGCCCTGGATCCCTTACAACATTGCCCTGAGGAGAGAGGAGAAAGGAGAGAGGAGGGAAATCAGGGGAGAGGATACGTGAACGCAGCCTTTGTGAAGGTCTTTCTCCAGAGAGACACAGCCCCAAATCAAACATCCCTCACTGGTTAGATGCTGCAGTGCACATCACCATGAAAAAGCAGGACCCGAACATTCTTAGGAGAGCCCTGAAACATTTATCAGGTCTTGTGATAAAACTGTGTGACATGAGTATAAAGCACCAAATATTGAGCTAAACTGTCATCAATAAAATAGAGGATAACTCCAGAGTTATATACATGTCCTCACTTTAATTCCTTGCATCCTTGCATCTTGTTCAAGTGCTGCTGGATAAGGAATTTGGTCACTCAGACATGGAGATTCAGGACACTGGACGTGCAGGCCGAATTTGTTCAAACAGTCAAAATCAGGAACTTTTTCATCCTCAGTGTTGAAGCGAAACATACTCTGTGTCACTGCGTAGACAAAACATCAGGATCAGTCACAAGCATGTGGTTCTGAACACATTCCAACATGAGCTATGTGTGTGTGTACAGAGTCAGTTTCCTCCTCATGCTCGAGCTGCTGACTCTGTGCTCAAAAGCGTTAATGTGTCCGTGTGAGTCACTCCCTCATTGAAGGCCCAACAAACTTACAGTCCTACATGATACGTTCAAAGACTGTTGGGTTAACCAGAGTTTCCGTTTGAGTGATAATTTTCTCAGCCCCTTTGGAAAGAGATTTTCATACTCAGTGGACAAAGCAACAGAAGTACATATTTGGACACAGACAAACATACAGACCTCTTTGCTGTTCAGAGTAACTCTCTGTCTTAAAACTCGGATGATTTTGTCTCATAATAATGTTGGTTGGTGCCCTGATGTTTGAAAACTCACCACAGAAGTGCCTCTTCACATAGATGAAAAATCTTAAATGCCCTTCCTGCTTTAGTATCTGCTCCTCTGAAGGATTCAACATGACTGTGTGCCCTCTTGATGCCCTTATGAGTCAATAAAGTATAAAAATGTGCCATCAGGAGGCTGTTCTGGTATACACAACATGGAAAAAGAAGCTCTCTGGACGGCTGTCTCATAAAACTGGATCCTCTTTCTGTGATTAAAAGTGATAAGACGTCCTTTCAGTATCAAATCTAGTTGAGTAGTCGATGTTAAGTTGGTACGTGAAATTTGTGAGCCAAGTTTATTCACCCAGAAATTCATCATTTTACTCCTTACTGTCCAGGGTTGCTTCAGCCTTTCCTTTTTTAGTTGTTGTGCAACTTCCTCATGATTGCTGAATGCAGAGGAGGGGCAGAGGTTAGTAAAGTAAGTCAAGAGGTTATAAAAAAAGATCTGCATAAATCTCCAGCAGCTAAACCTAAAAACTCAAAAGTTTTGAAGTCTTCTGCATGTGTGAATTCAGCATTAATGTTACTTTGATTCTTGATGTTTCAATCGAACAAAACAAAAACATTTCTGTCGATTTAACCCAAATCACGGCACATCTTATATATCATGTAAAAGATTAAAAGAGAGTTGTCAAGTGCACAGCAAATGCTGTATGACGGTGGTGCAAACCTGCAAAGGACCAAAAACAGAACTAGGGCCCCGGTGGGGCACTGGCGGGCCCGAGCCGTGTCGCGCCGCCCCCAGCGCGACCGCCTCCCCCACCCAATCGCGTCACACTCAAGGTCCAAAGATGGTGTGCGCACTTGTCTGTGGTCATTTACCATTATAATGAATGGGAGGCGCAGTTTCTACCAAAACGCTCGCTGCAGAAAAACTCCATGTCCTATTTGAAAAAAGTCTGGACCATGAGTGAGGGCACAAACACAGCTAAGATATATCCAAATGGCAAGTTGCTCCTCCTTTCGCTTTTGCCGAGAGAGCGATGCGTTTGAGCCATTGAGCGATGAACAGGAAAAACTTGACTTTATTCTCCTGCCATGGGGGGGCGCTCTTTTAACGAGAAAAAACTCCTTCACAAATGTGTTGATGGCTGGACATTGCATCATCCTAGAAAACATGGAGGCCAGTGAGGACAAAAATAAAATGTTATAACACTTTTAAGAATATGGATATTTGGGTCATCTTTGGCGCCCCCTAGAACTTAAACCGTGGGGTGCAGCGTCATGATTTTTACAACTTTGACTGACCATGGGGTGTAGATTGGCCTGAGCAAATTTGGTGCCGGTGGAGCGAAAGCCTTAGGAGGAGTTAGCTTCATTCCAATGTGTGCGAATCGGCAAAAAATGCGAAATAGCCCTTTAACCGTACATTTGACAGATACGCCTGCATTTACTTTTTCGTAGATCTTATTGAGATACACGTGTGTGTCGAATTTTGTGTCATTTTGACAAAGCGTACAGGCATGACCCTCAACAATGTGTATTTTCACCTTAGGGGACAAGAAAAAATGGACTTTTTTCTCCTGCCATGGGGGGCGCTCTTTTGGGGAGTAAAAATTCCTTCACAAATGTGTTGATGGCTGGACATTGCATCATCCTAGAAAACTTGGAGGCCAGTGAGCACAAAAATAAAAAGTTATAAGACTTTTAAAAATGTGGATATTTGGGTCCTCTTTGGCGCCCCCTAGAACGTAGACCGTGGGGTGCAGCGTCATGATTTTTACAACTTTGAATGGCCATGGGGTGTAGATTGGCCTGAGCAAATTTGGTGTCAGTGGGACGAAAGCCTTAGGAGGACTAAGCCACATTCCAATGTGTGCGAATCTGCAAAAAATGCGAAAAAGCCCTTTAACTGTACATTTTACAGATACGCGCGCATTGACTTTTTCGTAGATCTTATTGAGATGCACGTGATTGTCAAATTTTGTGTCAATATGACAAAGCGTACAGGCGTGACATTCAACAATGTGTATTTTCGCCTTGGGGGACAAGAAAAAATGGACTTTTTTCTCCTGCCATGGGGGGGGCGCTCTTTTGGGGAGTAAAAATTCCTTCACAAATGTGTTGATGGCTGGACATTGCATCATCCTAGAGAACTTGGAGGCCAGTGAGGACAAAAATAAAAAGTTATAAGACTTTTAAGACTGTGGATTTTTTGGTTATCTTTGGCGCCCCCTAGAACCTAAACCGTGGGGTGCAGCGTCATGATTTGTACAACTTTGAATGGCCATGGGTTGTAGATTGGCCTGAGCAACTATGGTGTCAGTGGGACGAAAGCCTTCGGAGGAGTTAGCGAAATTCCAATGTGTGCGAATCGGCAAAAAATGCAAAGAAAACCTTTTACCGTACATTATACAGATACGCGCTCTTTGACTTTTTCGTAGATGTAATTGAGATACACATGATTGTCAATTTTTGTGTCAATATGACAAAGAGTTCAGGCGTGACACTCAACAATGTGTATTTTCCCCTTAGGGGACAAGAAAAAATTGACTTTTTTCTCCTGCCATGGGGGGGCGCTCTTTTGGGGAGTAAAAATTCCTTCACAAATGTGTTGATGGCTGGACATTGCATCATCCTAGAAAACTTGGAGGCCAGTGAGGACAAAAATAAAAAGTTATAAGACTTTTAAATATTTGGATTTTAGGGTTATCTTTGGCGCCCCCTAGAACCTAAACCGTGGGGTGCAGCGTCATGATTTTTACAACTTTTAATGGCCATGGGGTGTAGATTGGCCTGAGCAAATTTGGTGCCGGTGGAACGAAAGCCTTCGGAGGAGTTAGCGAAATTCCAATGTGTGCGAATCGGCAAAAAATGCGAAATAAACCTTTAACCGTTCATTATACAGATACGCGCTCTTTGACTTTTTCGTAGATCTTATTGAGATACACGTGTGTGTCAATTTATGTGTCAATATGACAAAGCGTTTAGGCGTGACACTCAACAATGTGTATTTTCATGTTAGGGGACAAGAAAAACTTGACTTTTTTCTCCTGCCATGGGGGGGCGCTCTTTTGGGGAGTAAAAATTCCTTCACACATGTGTTGATGGATGGACATAGCATCATCCTAGAAAACTTGGAGGCCAGTGAGGACAAAAATAAAAAGTTATAAGACTTTTAAGAATGTGGATTTTTGGGTTATCTTTGGCGCCCCCTAGAACATAAACCGTGGGGTGCAGCGTCATGATTTGTACAACTTTTAATGGCCATGGGGTGTAGATTGGCCTGAGCAAATTTGGTGCCGGTGGAACGAAAGCCTTCGGAGGAGTTAGCGAAATTCCAATGTGTGCGGATCGGCAAAAAATGCGAAATAGCCCTTTAACCGTACATTTGACAGATACGCCCGCACTGACTTTTTTGTAGATCTTATTGAGATACACATGTGTGTCAAATTTTGTGTCATTTTGACAAAGCATACAGGCATCAGGTGAGTTTTCACCATAGGGGGCGCTATGGAGCCATTTTTCATTTTTTTGTTTGGGCGACTTCAGAATATCAAATTTTTCACCAGGCCCGGTCGTCCTGCCAAATTTCCTGAGTTTTCGCCAGTGGGAAGTGGGCCATTTTCCAGTTTAAAGCGGAGGAAAAATAACGAAAGAAGAATCCATCAGGAACAAGAGGGCTCTCGCAGCTGCTTAGCAGCTACGCTCGGGCCCTAATAAGAATTTTCAAAGGAAGCACTTTATCTGCAGTTTTCCTTCTGTTAAGTCACAGTGTTTGAGCAGAAATATGCACCAAAAAAAAAGAAATCCTTACACTTGACTGTCCAGTCTATGATTTAAACATTATAGAGGAGATGATAATGTGCAATAATATGCTGCAAAGACTCAAACAAAGCAAGTGTTTTTTATCATTCAAATTTTGCTCACAACTATTTTTTTTTTTACAAATTTTAATGAACTCTGATCTTTTTTTGTTTTGTTTTTGCCTGAAATGTCCTAAAGTGAGATGTTTGTTGGATTTGTTAGATTATTGTGGCCCCTGAAAAGTCTAATGAGGTATTTTACAAACACAAAAAGGACAAAAATGTCTTGAGATTTTTTAGTAAAGTGTAAATACTCAAAAGTGAGGTGTAGTTGAAAAAAATTGAGGAGAGAAGTGGGTTTCGGCTTGCGGTATGTTTCAAGTGCATCGCAGGAGAAATGTTGCACTTTTGAGGGGTCGATAAAGTTCTTTTTTTTTTTTTTTTAAACTTACAGGGAAGTTTTATCAAGAACACCAACTCCCGAAGGACTAATTGCTTATCTTTGAATTATTTCCGACCAGAATGGATCAGCCCTAAAAAAAGAGATTAAAAAAAGCTGAATACTTTCAAAGTGTTTGTTCCTTTTTTAATGAAATAAATTCCCACGTAGAGACTGTGAGCAGCAGGTTCTTGTGGCGTCCTTCGCTCAAATCCATCGAATGTCAGCAGATGCTGGAAAGTCCTGATTGAAAATTCCTCGTTGAACCTTGGCGGTTCCTGCTCCATAATACGCACAGATCGATGTTTGAATAGTGCCTGTGAGATGAGCTGAGCTGCACTTCAATGGGAGATATTTTGGGTTTTAATAGCTTCTCTGCTCCACTTGTGGTAGGGAACAGGTGCTGTGGTTGTTGGAGGGGTCAGCCAAAAGGACAGCGAGTGCCAGAATGACAAAAGTCAGAATAGCAGATTAGAGGTACAAGGAGAAAAACATGGTAATAACATAATGGTTTATTTATCTGCATTTATGCCTTTCATGTTTATTAAAGTACAGCTTGGCTGAATATTCATGAGATTTGCAGAATAAGCCCCCAACTTATGTTTGCATACCTGAATGGAACATACTTCTCTCCATCCATGTTTATGTTTATCATCCTGAAAAAAAACAAAATATAATTATCTCCTCAATCAGCTAGCAGATTTTAGAGGAAAAAAGTTAACTTTCTGTTTTAATCTGTACATGTTTAACTCAAAACACCAAAAACTAAAGAGTTTTACTTTCTGGTTTCTTTAAATATAAAGCAAAGTGATCTATAAGCCAAAATAAACATAATAAATGACTCAAAGACGCTCATTTCAACCTTTAGTTTTTACTTGGTACACTTTTGGTGACAAGTGTGAGACTAGTTGCCATAAACTGACCTTTGAACTCTGTTAATAGCACCAAACTCGGGGCTAACTATTTGACCTTTGACCCCCAGAGTTTGGGAGGCCACTGAGGAATTGTAGGACTTCATAGCATCACATGCCACTCATTGGTCGCTTTGATATGTTTACTCATTCAATTAGCAGTAAGTGCCAGTTGTTACATTCTTAACTGGAGCTACAAACACTGCAAATGCTTCAACTCTGCAAACACTGAACACTGCAAACCCAACTGCACCCATCTGTGTTGGGTTTTTACATCTGAAACAATATTTCAAAATCAACATCTCGTACATAAAGTGACTGAATCAGTTTAGAGGAGCTTGTTGCACAAGGTCCATTTAGCAACTGTGCAATATATGAGCTGGGCATGATCCATGATCTACAACTCCCCTCATACTGAACCACTGACAAGATCCGCCGTGCAACATTCATTATTTAATGTGCAATATACATAATCTCTCATAAATATACCTTATCAACTGTGCAATATTCAATATGCATTATACATTAATGACTTTGCAACATGCATCATCTACGGGGCAATACGCAATATATTTTCTGGTGCCATACATATTAACAGTGTAATACATCACTTGTGCAATTTAAATTACCCACCATAAAGCATATATGACATTCTACCCACACAATATACAATCTCTCTGTATGTTATTCTCTATCTACTGTACAATATGCATCATTAACTGCAGTAATTATTATACAAAGTGCTGTGACATCTCTGATCTCCCATGCAGTGTTCTCAGCTTTCCTTGCTATATAAATGATCCCTTGAACAGTTTAGTGTATGGTGCATATACTATATGGTGTGTATTATATGCAATAATAAGTTGCTGAGCATTAAACATTATCTACTGTTAAATTAACATTTTCTGTAATGTTGAAGTAATGATCATTTTTGCATCTTACATAAACACTTTATCATGAAATATGTGATCTACAGTCCAACATACATGAAATACTGCGTCATATATTTTTTCCTCGCGATACATTTATCTACCATGTGTTATAATAAATCTAATGGACATTTTATGATACCTGCTGCCTGATATTCATTACCTGCTGGTCAGAATTCCTCATTAACGATGCAGTTTACATGATCCATGCAAAATGCACATTCAGTGTACGATATACATGGTCAGCTGTGCAATAATCAACAATTATTGTGCAATCTACATCATTTATTACATATTTTCTACTATCTACTGTTTTATATAGATTTTTGCTGTACATATTTACCTTGCATTATGAACAATGCAGTGGCAATAAAAATGTTAACTGTGCAATACATGTGATCTATGTGCATTTCATATCAAGTTACAATTTGTTATACCTTATCTTAAGCTTACGCATCACCCATGGTATGATGTGTACAGTCTGCTGTATAACACTTGTTCTTTGCATTGTTTTAAGGGCATCTGTATGTATTGTGCAAAACATGATCTACTACTGAACCATAATAATGATGGAATAACTGCAAGCAAAGGTGCAAACTCAAATTTATTCAAACTTTGAACTGAGAATAAACAAGACTGGAAAGTTTTGGATAATAATTTGTGTTTCAGGCTACTGCACATAGTTCTGAGGACATTATGTTTTCCTCTGATTAAAAGGCCATTAAGGTGGGAGAGTGGGAGGACCTTTGTTTTTCACATGGTGGGAGGGAGGCGTCAGAGCGGGGTGTGTTTGGGAGAGGAGGAGGAAGGAGGGTGGAGGGAGATCCTTTCAATGCGTCCGGCAGCAGTCTGGTGCGTAAAGAGCGCGGCACAGAGCGCGTCTCTTCTGTCCACTTGTGTCCTTCACGGCCTGGATTATCGCTTCCTCTCCGTCTCCTTCTCACTCGGTCTGCACGCGCTCTAAATGAAGCTTGGGTCTTCTCCGTGACTTTCTTCGCCATGAGCTGCCTGGATGTGATGTACCAAGTGTTTGGTCCTCAGCCTTATTTCAGCTCCTACAGCCCCTATCACCACCAGGTATGGACCAAATATTCACCTCAAAGTAGTTTCAAGTGGATCTGACTCTGTGGTCGACTTTGTGTTTTTGTTTGGATGCGGAGAAAACTTTGAAGAGATCCAGATGGCAGCGAATGAAACTTATTTAGGTGTAGAAACAGCGACTAAAGCGGATTTTATCTTTATAGATCAGCAAAACGTATCATGTCCCCCCTATAGTCCTGTACACCACTCAGCTTTACCTATAGTTACAAACATTTCTTGTATAGATACTTCCTATATTTACAAAAAATATTAAAATTACTATAAACGTGATTTACGCACCACTAAAGCTTTAACCTGCATGTACACCTTAGCTGCAGCAAAGGAATTACACACACACATGCACATACATAGACAGTAAGTGGGAGTTATAAGTCCATTTCAACTGTTAACACTAAGTTCAGTCCTTCAAAACTCAAGGGAACGTCTTGTTTTTATTCTTTTATATATTTTAAATTTAAAAATAGATAATCCTGATTCAGCTCCAAGTTCTGAGATTGTGTGTTTCATATACACCTCCTTATCCTTCAGCTTAGTTCTTGGGAAAGTTTTTAAAAAGTTTTAAAGAGTCCTTATTTTGATGGCTTAATTTAGAAAAGCTTGGCTCCATTTTTCATGCTCAGTAACTACTTAAGAAAATGAATCTTCAAGGATTTTGTTCATCTGAAGTTTCATTTTCTTCCGAAAGCTGCAGTGCTGAAGGGATACAGCGATAATAAAGGATTTAATCAATCATGAACTTTTTTTTTACCTTTGACAACTTTTCCAACAGCACAATTATCATTTAAGAGATGAGTTATAAGATAAGACTCACTGGTGTTGCTTTTTTAGTGCCAAATTTGAGGTTTTGTATAAAAGTAAAATGGTTTTTGTACAATAATCCCATTTAACCTAAAACATGTCACTCTTATTAGACAAGCTCAAAATAACTTAAACTTAAAAAATTGGATGGACAATTTTTTTGAAAGGCTGTAACTGATTCAGAGTCTGTTTATGTGGTGGACAAAGTGAGTTTTGGCACTATGTGAAATATTCCTGAATGTTGACCGAGAGGTTTTAAGAGAGTGAAAAAAAGGACCTCAAACAGGTCTGAAAGAGCTCACAAAGAAAACCCTCGAACAACTTTATTATAAAACCACAAATTTGACATTAAAAAGCAACACAAGTAAGTCTGATGTATTGTATTATTCTTATTTTATGAGACAATATTCTGATTAAAAGGTGCTAACAAAAAATTAATGTGTAATGATACATGTTTTATTTAGAGAATGGTTATGTGAACAAATGTATGAATTATAAATGCGCAATTTTTTCAGGTCTTTGTGTGCCAAAGTAATGAGGCAAAACTTATTTCATTTGAAAACAACCAGAAACTCTAAAATGAACAAATTTGTTTTGCAGTTTGTGTCCGATTAAGAGTGAGGAGAAATATCAGGTTTAATAAGTTAAAGACCACTGTACACTTGTTAATGATAGTTACATGAAGTATGAGAAAAGATTTTTATTGGATTAAAAAAAACATAAGTTGTAATATTCAAAATTAAGTCTGTACATACTCTGATGTTTGCAGTGATAGTTGCCAGTTTGCACTAGTTTAGAGTGAAAAGACTGTAGGTGCATGTAAATAAAGTTATTTTTAATATTAAAAAAATACATTGTACCAGTATAAATGGATCAATGTCAAATAGCATTATAACCACCCACTGTTTATGTACCTTTCTGTCCTACGTAGAAACTGGCGTTGTACTCCAAAATGCAGGACCCCCAGGACAGCGGCAGCCGGCTCGGCCCCTCGGGCCCACCGGTGATCAAAGAGGAGGACAAGGAACTCCCGCCGGGGGCTGAGTACCTGAGCTCCCGCTGCGTCCTCTTCACCTACTTCCAGGGGGACATCAGCGCCGTGGTGGATGAGCACTTCAGCCGAGCCCTCAGCCACACGACCGCATACTCCCCCTCTACCAGCCACAAGGCCATAAGAGGTGTGTGTGCACGTGTGTGTATGTGTATGTTTGTGTAGATCTGTGTGTGCACTTCCTATCAGTGTGTGTGTTGGTGTTGTCCTTGTTTGTTAGAGAGGAAAAGTTCAAACATTAAGGATTTGATTTCTCAAATGAAAATGAAAAGTTGGTCTGATATTGTTTTTAACTTAGTAGAGTTAGTGAAATTCCAACAATGAGTCAGTTTGAACTTTCGAAGACTTTATTCATGTGCTTTAAGTTTTTCAATATTTGGTGGGAAATATGACGCAAAAGAAGAATTTATCCCTCAAAATTTCAACATAACAAAGCTTGATTTCTTGTTATGAAGACATTATTTATTTTGCTGCTTGGCAGGTCTGTGGCAGGTTTTTTTCAGGATCAGTCCTGATTGTCAAAGGGGTTGAAAGCTGTTGGTGATTTCTGTAGTTTTATGCAGTTATTTGTAACCAGTATCACACATTTTCAGTTAATATTAGTTGTATGGACAGAACATTTTGCTTTCGTGTGAGTTTAGGGTTGAATACTCTGCATTTAAATAAAAAATGAAAAACTAAAGTTTTGAGAACTTCTATCATGTTTTATTTCTAACAGTTGTAACCAGAGTCGTCGTGGTCCCAGGTAAAGACTCAATCAGTTAAAATATGCAGGAAAAAGTGAGGGTTGCTTTAATCTGATATGATTTGATCAGCCCCCATGTTTACTTTTATTGTAAGTTTCCTCAGTAAAATAGTGGAGTTATTTTAAAAAAAAATGTTTATGTTTTTGATTGTTTTAAATGGACAGCAGCTTGTAAAATGGAGTCCTGAAGTTGAAAAAAAGGACTTAATTCCTCTGCATTTTTTAATTTTTTAACATTATTAGAACTAAATACGATTTGGTAGAGATGATGTGTATACAGAAGAGTAACCAGAGACAGATCAGGGACAATTCAAAGATAGAAAGTGAGATGAAAAAGTCAGTGAGACTTACTAAAATAGGACAGTTTTATATTAAAAAAAAGATTATAGTGGTTTTACATATTTAATCCACTAAATCCAGAGTTTGATGATTATAAAACTTTACAACTTTAGGAGTTGAAGTAGAGAGTTTCTTCTCAGAAAAAATGATCAAAATGAAAAGTATTTTACATAATACAAATAAAGTCAAACTCGGTTGTTTCAGACGTGTTTAAGTGTTACATAAACATGTTCAATTTTTTGAGAATTCGCACTCTGTGGGTATCAGTGTTTCAGCCTAATTATTTCCAAAATCACTTCAAATCCAAAGTACAAACATTTCAGATCTATTGTCATAGGTTAAGAAAACACACCATAACAGCTCACCTGATCCCAGAGAAACACTCAAACATTCAGAAAAGGCTCAACAGAGGAATAACAATGTCACCTCTGTTGTTTGAAGACTGAAAGACTCAAACCGGATCACACTTAAAAGTCTGAGCATGTTTGCATAATTGTTGGTTTATGATTCAAGTGAATGCAGATTATATATGATGTCATTCTACCTTTGAAAGTTAATGAACATCTATGTAAATTATAGTAGCTGTCACTTTGTGTCACTCTGACAAGGCTGATGTTAGAAAATGTGTTTTCTAAGCTCTCTGGGCACTTTGTCCTTTGATGGACACAAAGAGAAAATAAACTATTTTGATTGATTTATTGAGTATTTTTGGTGTGATTATGAAACTGTCGTACAGTTGTTTCTATTGATAATTGATGATTCTTTAAAAAATAGAGAATATTTTGAAGTTTTTCCCCAAAACTTTATTACATTTTACTCCTGATCGAGTATCATCAGACTATGTACCAACAGGTTGCTGAGTAAAATCATACTAAATCAAATCCTTATTTTAAATATAGCTGTTAATTTATTCAAGAAGATAATAAGAACATGGTGGAACGATGTCTGCCTAATTACAATATTTTGGTGAATCCAAGGAAAACTTTCATCAACTGCTGACCTGCATTTCTCATCTTTGTCACTATTGCATGATCATGAGGTATCTGAGATAATTGTGAACAATACCCCTAACTTAGGATTTCCTGCTCTAATGTCTTCAGGTCAGAGATCCTGAAATTTTCTGGAAATTTCCTGTCGAGCATGTCTTGAAACAGCTCAACTAACTTGTGCTCTTGGCTTCTTTACAAGTCATGCTCAATAACAGCTCACGTAAACTCAACATTGGCTCAAATTGCAGAAAACATATTGAAAAATGGGCAAGATCAGCTCTGATATGACAGTTAAGATGAGTATCGGGACGTCCTTATTCCTCGCTTAGCAAAAAGAATTTGGTAAACAGTTAAAGACTCTTAGGAAGCTCCAGCCTCAGATTTCCAGACAGTAACTTTACCAAACCTGCTCTAACGCTTCACTGAAGGTTAGCCTGGTAATGCTTTTTACTTATTTAATAGATGTTTGTATTTCTGTCCTCATAGACGGATCATTCCCTATGAGTCAGAGGAGTTTCCCTCCGTCCTTCTGGAACAGCTCCTACCAGCCGTCCGTCTCCTCCACGCTCGGCAGCGCTCTCTCAGCTCCCCACACAGACCTCCCCTTTCACGGGGACCCGTACTCCTCCGCCTCCCTGCACAGCCACCTCCACCAGCCCAGCCCTGACGCCTGGCACCCATCACATCACCACCACCATCATCACCACCCTTACTCACTAGGAGGAGCTATAGGCAGCCAGGGATCTGCATACTCACGTCCAGGCGTTCACGAGATGTACGGCACGGCGTTTGATCCACGTTACAGCTCTCTGCTGGTGCCGTCAGTGCGGCCGCATCATCGTCTAACGTCCAGCAGCTCAGTCTCAGGTCCAAGTGGGTCGCCATGTGACCTGGGAGGGAAGGGGGAGTCGGGGTCAGGTGCGTCTTGGAGTGGCGCTTTCACTGGAGCCGGCTCAGAGATTGGACTCAACATGGACACAGGTACTTATGTTTTTTTTTTAAGTTGGATCAACTTAAGTTTTAATAAGAGGACGTGTCAGTGGATAGAGCGGGAAACTGTCGGAGAATGGAGAACGACAGTAAAGGGTTGGAAATAAGGCCGAGCCACCAGCTTTGTAAACTGAGGCCTGTAGTTTAAACTGCTAGACCGAAATGGCATCTCTCGAGCAACTGCTCTTAAACCTTAATTTTTACACACAGGTACACAAACTTGATTGGCTTGCTAGCTAGTGAAGGATATTTACCAAATCATTACATTAATAGCCTTGAAATGAAGAGCAAAGTCCACCAACAGGTCAGGCAAAACTACCAACAATTGACAATAATAGTATTCTTGATCCATTTCTCAAGACTATCTTTGTCCGGCTGGTGAGTGTACGTTTAGTGTCCACCGTCATACAGGATTCTTCTTGAAGCGCAACCCTTTATAGAGTAGACTGGACCCTTACTGTCCAAGCACGCCACATTTAGAGGCTCTAGACATTGGTAAAAATTTAAACGTAGAGTTATATAATAAGTATAGGCAAAGGTAGAAAATTGATTATGCAGTGGTTGTAGCTGAAGCCTCACCACAGTATGAGGCTACTTGTTGACCAGTAGTTCGTCAAATGGGTTTGGAGTTTGTAGGCGAGACACTAGATTTTAAGGACCGTAATGCTTCCTCTAACGGCACCCTTTGGTCTCAGTTTAAGACTCAGAGTTGATTTTTGACGCTTTGCCAATGCCACTCTTTTATTTGTCAACTACAGTGTATGTCCGGTGAAGAAATCCATGCCGCTTGATTGAATATGCATCGCTACAGATGGAAACATTGCAATTAATCTCCAGATTTAATTAGTACAGCACAATGTTAAAACTGCCTTCAAAGAAAAATAAACAAAAAATAAAAAAGAGGACATTAAATATGAATATTAACATCTGCAGATTGACCTATAAATCCTTAATAGTGCACATAAATCAATTGCTTTACATAAGAACTACTTAAAGCTTTTTGGAAAAACCACAGAACATGTTTTCACAAAATTTTAAAATTGATTTCGACTTAATTTGGTTTTATCTTATATGCAGAATAACAAAAACCCAAATAACAGAAATGAATTCAAAGTTCAAGGGTCGAATGTTCGTTCAGTGTGTTTTTAATGTGGACCAATCAGTGCTGGCAACATTTGATAGTAAACAACTAAAAAGGAGGAAGGAAAGTTTAGAGAAACTAGGTGTCAACAAGGACCAGCAAACCAGACCAGGCACTGATCATGGGACTATCATATATGTAAAATGAGATAATGTTACATTAAGCTTAACTTATTTCACTGTAAACTTAATGTTCTCAGGATAATTTGCTCTAAGGTTGATAAAGGATTACTATTAAGTCAGTTGATTGGTCTTAAGTGTGCATCCAACTTCCATTTATCCCACAGCATTTAAAAAAAAAACTATCAAAAACTGTGTGGTGAAATTTCAACATTAATCCTGATTCAAATAGAGATTATTTCGTCTATCTTGCTTCCACCTACCTCGAGAGGTTTAGCCAACAATCTGACTGTCAATCAGCACCTTAACACCAGCTGTCAACTTGCTTTTCTGCTGCCGTCTAGCTTTCATCTCTCCTCTGCCTCGGGCAGTTCCTCCTGCTTTTATCAACAAGACATTTGCACTTCTTTTTCTAATCTCCCTTTTCTTGCTTTCCTCTTTTCCTTCCTCTTTTCTTTGCTCCTCTCTCAGGTCTGCAGGCACAGGATAAGAGCAAGGATTTGTATTGGTTTTAGAGTCCCCCCTCTTCACTTCTACTTCAGCTGTAGCCTCTTTTCCTTCACTCCTGCTCTGCTCTGTTGCTCTGCTGCTGTCATGGGATGACTGACAGAGAAACTGAAATTTAATTGAAGACGGCAGTTTTGTGCTGTAACTGCTTCTGGTCTACTTGCAGCTCGGTGTTACGGTGGACTGTGCAGCAGCAGCACAGCCTTGCTGAGCTGAAAGCTGACAACGCGGATCTAAAGCGAGTGTGGAAACAAAAGTCGACTCACAGAGACGAAGAAGAAGAAGAGGAAGAGAATCTGATCTTGACGGATGTGGACAAAGACAGAACTCTTTGTGCTTCTGTAACAGGCAGGGACAACATTCCTAAAGTTGAAAAAGTCTGGGGACAGACGGACAGAGACACGTGTTGTTGAGCTCCAAAGACAAGCGCTTTAAGGACTTGGCAGGAGGTGCTTCACAGGGACAACTGGGCGAAAGACACTGGGGGTGTTATGGCTGGAGGGAGGACTGTACTTGTGTTGAGGAGGCCGCACAGCAAGAATCTGCCAGACTGTGAATGGCAAGAGTCCAAACACTTTGGTTTACATAGAGTATTGGTACGATGTAAACTGTCTGTATCAATGTTACTGTTTTATGGCACATTAAAAGTTAAATTAAACAGTTTCTGAGGCTTTTTAACTGATATGAACTTAAGAATTTTTCACAAGCAAAATCTATAATTTTAAGATATGTCCCAAGACAAAGAAACATTCTGAAACAAGTGTTTTAAAGAAGTCAAAAGTCATACTTTTAGTTTGATTAATGGGAGCAGAGTTAAATTATACTATTGTTCAAAAAAGGTCAACACTGAAGCCAATGAATGGCGCAAAAATAATACAAAAAACAAAAATTATACTTGTCTTTTTTCTTTTTGAAGTTAAACTGGCAAACTTTAAGTTATATTTCTCTCTTTCTGTGCATATTGGCACTTTTTGCCATTCAAATATGCATCTTGTGCATACTCACTACTGATGGACACCTGGATGAAACTTAAGTCTTGCAAAGAGGCAATATGTATATTTTACCACAGCACAGTTATTGGTTTGTATACTATAGAATTGGGAGAAATTTCTCAAAACAATATAATGATAAATTTTCAGAGTTCTTTTGCATTTTGCCTTGACAGAGCAGTGGTAGAGGGACAGGAAATGTGGGGAGAGGAGCATGGCAGACATGCAGCAAAGAGTCGAGTCCAGGAGGAGTGTCTATACATGGGGCACCCTTAACCTGCAAGGCCAACTGACCCTCTAATATGACAACCATGCCAAATTATTCAAATCAGTTTTACAACAATTCAGATATCTGAATACAGTTACTGTTTTTTGTCAATTTATTCAAATGAATTTATGGACTGGCATTTGTAAAAGTATATATTTTGTTTATTATTAAATTACACATTATAAAACAGAGTATTTAAGAAATTCTGTATGGCAGTGTAAATAAAGCATTACCTTTATGCTATTAGTATCTGAGCAGGAGAGGGGCACCAAGGGGAGGGAGGAGGAGTCCTCTGATGAATGAGGAGAATGACGGCTATTTGAAGCCACTTGACTCCTTCTCTCCCTACTCCCATGCAGCTGTCAACGACAACTGCTCCTCAACTCAGTGAACGCACCCTCAGACATTCACACACACACATGTTTATAGTACAAAGACAGGACCAAGATTTCTTGATTTTGATTCACCATAAATGCAGGAAAAACACTGGCACACACTCACACACACATAAATATACGCATGTTCTCACAAACTGTGGACCACGATCTCTTAATTTCAGAATGAGAAACCACAATGAATGCATGCAAAAGGTTACAAAACAAACTTGTAGTCAGTTTTAAAACTTTGAGGCTCTCACACTCGAATCTTTTTTTATGACTAACTGTGGACTATGATCTCCTGAATTTCTTGGGGAGGACCAGTATAAATGCAGCTAAAAGGTCTGAAACAATAACTGTAGTGGACTAACACATATCGTGGTTATAGCACTAAGTCAGGACCCTGACATTTAATTTTTTTTCATTATTAGGGCCAACTAAAACGTTAGTCAATTTTAAAATTTAACTTCTCAACGGTCCTGACAAATGCACCAAACATACACATAAGCATGCCTGTTATACTGACAGGGGACCATGATTTCTTAATTCTTTAAGAGGACCACCGCGCAAAGTCATACTCATCAACAGCTTTGACAAACACACTCTCCCATGCACACTCTTGCATGCATTACCGAATACAGATCACAACCTCTGGGTTATTTGTGAGGATGACCACTAGCTGAAAAGGTGAAAAACTAAACTGGTTTTCACACATGCTGCGAGTAGAAACTGGTACCTGTCTTTTCTACCAAGAGTGGAACCCAACCAGTTGTTGTCTGGTAACTAAAAATGCAACAAAAAAAAGTTGGAAAATCAAAGCTTTTGAAAATATGTACTGACTGCAAATACCTGTTAACTGAACTGTTTTCTTTTTACTCTTGAGTCCCACAGTAACCAGAAAAAGGTCAAATTTACCAGAATTCTTTTGTCAGATTCATACGATAAAAATTCACCTTAATGTTAGTGTGGTTAAAGCTGGTGACAAAGGTCTGCTATCGAGAAAAAGCAGACATTGGAAAAATGTAATCAGCCGATCAGAATCAACTGTTAAAACACAGCAGTGCTATGGTAATAAGATACAAATATATATACCAAGAATTTATCATATGCTAAACACAAACTTTGGTCATTTTTAATTAAACTGATGCAGACCCACTGAAAAGACCCACCTGAAGTTTGACATCACTTATTTTGACTACTTTTCTATGCTCCCCTCCAAGTATACAAGGAATTTGACATCCTGTTGAACAAAAGTACTTTGTGGAAAAAGACTGATGATTCAGTTGTAATATCTATAGTATCTCTTATGTAGGGCAGGAGATGACTTTTTTTAAATTTCCACACCACAGTTGCCTGTTCTTTGGACACTAATTCAAAAAAACAAAAATATTAAACAGGTTGTTCTCTTTGGTTTTAAAAAGTTGAGGTCTTGTGATCTCAAACTAAAACTTATTTTCCTGTAAGCAAAGCAAGTAACATTCAGGACATCAAGGACACATGAAAATAGTTAGAACAGGACGGTTCCTGTCTTTGTAAACTCTTCATAGTTGCATGGTTGAACTCCGTCACTGTCACAAATAATAGCTATGCCATCCTTGCATATTGACAGATACACCAACGACCAAAAGAGTCTCACTATGGTTCACAAAATCAAAACAATATCAGATCTTAAGAAATGTTAGAAATGGAGATCTTTTTTGTCTAGCTAGCCAGAATGACTTTTTAAACTGAAAATGTCAAAGAAAGGTATTTCATTATTTTAGTCACAAAAACTTTTGAGAAGTCTTTGTCAAGGTTTTCGTCAGTCTTAGCTTGTGTTGCTGAATTCTTTGATTAAAACCAGTAATGTCTTTTACATGATTATGCTGAAATTTCAAAACTGCACAGATTTTGCTTGGAATCTCTATTTCAGTCAGGATCCCTTGAGTCAAAATTAATTATTTATTACAAGCAAACATATTTACTTTGGCGGTATGGCTCTGTTTTGAGGGTACCCTGCCCTTCCATGCGCTTGCACGGAGTGGCTCTAAGAGGGGAGAGCTCCTCCCCTCCCTTTCATGTGCATACATGAGGAGCCAGGCAGAGAAGCAGCAGCAAATAAATTTGATTAAGATAAATAAATAAAAATCCCCGCACAGAGTAGAGCAAGCATCAGCGACAATACATATGACACTGGTAAGATCAGACACAACATAAACAGGAGGATTTGGGTGGAGGTGGGTTGCAGAGTGGTTGCAGCAGGCAGAGTAGGCAGGAGAAGCAGTTTAAATAGGGTGCCATTTTAACATTAGCCAACAGAATATGTAGAGGGTGATCACCTGAGCTATCAGCTGACTGAGGGCTGGCTTAAGATCAGCTGACTGTAGCCTTTAGCTTGACTCCGTAACCTGCCTGATCTACCGCTATGCTTCATTTATATATCTGACAATACTTTTCATTATCTGGGGATACTCTGGTCTACAGGATACAACTGCAATGCATATCAAGCCCAAAATACAACCCCAAAAGATTCTGATTGATTGGAAATAAGTAAAACCCCATATTTAAATAATTATGGTACGAGGTCAATAATTTAAATGTGAAATCTGAAAAATGCTCATTCTTAAATTTGATGCTAGCAATGTATGAAAATGTTGAGACAGGGACAGCAAAACACTGAAAAAGTTGCATTATACTTACACAAACAAAAAACAAACAAACAAAAGAAAATGAACATCTTCCAACTAATTTGGTTTATTTGAAGCAGATTAGTATCATGCTTGGGAGGCTGAGTCACTCAACAGTAAAGATGGGAATATGATCTCCACTGTGTGAGACACTTTGTGAGCAAATAGATCAGCGATTTCTACACAGTTATAATTATACTGAGCATTCACAGAAGAAAACGTATGGGTGTTCAGACATTCATCAATATGTGGCTCTGGCTTGAGGGACTAGTGGGATGCGCAATAGCTTCACCCACACAACAGTATAAGTGGCACTTGTTTGGAGAGTGGAGTGGTGAGTGATGGCTGGCTTACTGGTAAGGACTTAGCCTGTTTACATTATTGCATGTGCGGAAAAATACCTGTAGATTTGTGCACAAAAATTTGCACGTACTGTAATCCGTAACTTCAGATTTGCATTTAGCTATTTATTTTATTTTATTTTATTTTATTTTATTTTACCTGGAACGTCTGTGATGCAACATGTGTTTTGTCCAGAGGTCTGACCTATTCACAGGAAACAGTGTTACCCAGTGAAGCTGTGGCTTTGGACTCTGGGGGTCCACCACACTCGACAGGATCTGGCTGATAAACCATCCGCGCAGTCAGAGCGCACTGACAGTAATCTGAAGGTGAGTGAAACTAGGTAATACAGAGACGAAGATAAAAGAAGTACAGTCAAACAAAAGGAACAATTTCATTTCATCCATATGCTCTGTTTCTCAGAAAGCTCCATGGCTTGTGTGTGAATTAGTTTCAGCTGAGAGTGAGACAGCTGTAGATTAATATCAGCTTCTGACTCAAGTGTTGACAGATATGAAAAGGATGGAGAGGTGTTGTCTCTCTCTTTCTCTCTGTCACGTCTGTGCTTAACAAGACACGTCCCTCTTTTTTCCCCTCTATTTCTTTTTTCTCTCCTTTCTCCTCTCTGGAGCAATTGACACTACAAAAACAAAAGCTTCTTTTCACAAAGACTCAAGAGTTAATTCATCTCGCTTGCAGAAAAGAAACGTGTAAAGCTGTGTTAATTGTATAAAATTCAGGGCTGAGATTAAGGACAAGAGTTCCCCCTCAATCAAAACACAGAAAAGAGAGGATTGCTTGGTTCATCAATTTATTTTCATTAAATGCTTTATTCTGTATTATAGTAATTAGCTGGAATGCTGGCCTTTGAGCATTTTACTTCCAGGAAACCAAAAATACTCATTGACTGAAAAAAGTGCTTGTTTGTGCTGTGTTTTTTTTATGCTTTAACAATCAGAATATTTCATTTTGAATATAAAAAAGATGATTTTCTTTTTGTTACCTGATAAATTTAAATACCTGAGTTAAGTGTTCTTCATTAATTTATAAAACAAGCAGG